TATCCTCCTAATAATTTTTTGTAAGGGAATTAATAGGAAAAAGAATGTTTTCTTTTCATAGTTATATTTATTTCCTTATAATTACTGTATACATTTTGATAAAAAACATTTGTTTTTGTAATGCCCTTATTGTATACAGTCAAATGAGAAGGGAAATGGTTTTTCAGAGATTTATTTTTTCTCTTCTATACGAGTTACATGTTATTGTTTCTTTAATGGGAGTGGGAGCAGTGGAGAGGAATAATTAGGAAGGGATAAAGATATGATACAGCCATACCAAAGGAAGTAGTTGATAGATCCCTGAATTAAACTACAAGCATTTGCATTCCGATTCAAATTTAGAGATGGTTTGTGCAGAGAAGTGTTTAGTTTCACCTTCAGATATAGGTCAACTTCTCTGAGTTACTTTCAGGTAGAGAAAAATTATAGTTTACCAATGAGTGTTTACCAGGAGTGAATAATGAATCAATCAACATACTGCAATGAAAAATCCTTAATCGGCAGGGAGATGGAATAGTTGGCCTATTGTTTTTAAATTGAACTTCTCTGACATTGGGTTATAAGAGTACAAAAGCACAGGAACTCAAATGCTTAAGCTCTTATATGACACTTGAAAAACAAACAGTAACAATGAGTGTTGGATGTATGCGCTTTTCATGATGGCGTTCATTTCCTATAAAACTGAATGAGGAGAACATTGTGACATGGCTACTGTCCAGCAGTATGTCCAGTCAGTATTGCTAAAAGCATAGAGATAGAGCTATGGATTCAGTGTTAAAGCCCGCTAGTATCACTTATGATACCAATCTCTTCTGCAAATTTAGGAACTAAAGGGTGTGAGGATTTCCTCTAAAGGACTAAGAAGATTTGTCTAGCAAAGACTGCTGAAGGAAGATGATGCCCATTTCCCAAGTCCTAATAAATTTGGGTTGACAGGCTAACTGAAAAGGTAGCCCGAGGGAAAAGCTAGTATTCAGGGCATGAGGTTAACTGAGGAAAAGACAAGACTAAAACTGAGACATATGACTTCATGGTACAAAATTTGATTTTACAGAGAACTATTCTGGCAGAGAATTAGGAGCTAAGGCCTGGTGATATATGAAAATGTTTATAGACTCTTTTGTGATCAAATACCCACATGATTATAAACACTTACATTGTATTTTTAAATGCACAGCTTGGGAGAAATATTTGCCGTGCTTATACAGCAATGCTAAAATGTTCAGTGGTAAATAGATGCAAATATAACCAAAGTCCAAGAAGACAATAGCAAGGCTCATCAAACTACTGCATAGCTGGACAATTCCAGGTCATTTCAGTAGAATCAGTGCATCAGTATGGCAGGCAGGACCAGGACCCATCTCCTGAAAAGATTTAGCTCAGTTTTCCAATTAGCTCGTCATCATTTGCCTTTGCTCATTTTAATTGTCATTATTTTCCTTTTTAAGAGACAGGTTCTACTAAGTGCTCAGCACAAACCACAGTCCTTGAGTTGGAGAGCTTTACTCTAAGGAAAGAGACTGAGCAGGGATACGTAATGAAGCTGAAAGGAAGCAGAGGCTAGGTCACTGTCTGTTTTGGTTTTTAAATACTTCCTTACTATTACTAAAGTTACTAAAGGTGTTATAGGCAATGCAGAAAATTCAGTCCTTGTGAAGGATCTAAACGTAGGGAGGAAAGTGACTTGATGAATCTGAGAAGGGGCAAGTGTATGAGCAATGAGGAGGCTGTGGTTGAAGAGGTGTTAAATGTGATCTTCATAACCGGCAAAGCTAGGAGGAGAAGTGGTACGAGCTAAATGGGGATATATAGAAAAGATACAATCCTATAGACCCTAGAACTGGGAATATTACAAGGAAATAAATGGAAATTATGTCATGCACAAACATTACTATGAAAAGAATATGTGCGTTTAATATATTAACATGCTTATTAAGGACAGCTCTGTAGCATGTTAAGGACAGCTCTGTAGCATGTATGTGAAAATCAACAAATCTTAAACAATGTATCATGAAATATTTCATGGTAGAACCCACTTAGTTCTATTTTTATGAAACTGAAGATGGCTAAGGCTAGATTCTCATGCTTAATAACATGCCCAGGGCTGACTGATAGAAACTATATTAACACAAACAATAATGGTAATACTTTTCTACTCATATTCGTGAAACAAATTATTTGTCAGGCTGATTGAGTCTTCTAGTACCTTTAATATAACATTGATCTATCGTAATTATCTAGTAATCTTTATGTAGCAATTTTTTCAGTCTTACGAAAAAAAGAATTGGGGATACTGTAAAATCTGTGCTGCTTTCTCTAGCCTATTTTTACTAAACATTATCTGGTATACTTAGTCACCTTGAAACTCCTGATATTACTAACTTCATGATTTTCCATGGGTTTATGGCCAAATTTGTTTCCAGCTGCACTACTTCTATCTGATATTATAAAAGTCAATTCACAGCGTAATTATGTTTTCTGCTATTGCTTTCTAATTTGTAAACAGGAAAAAATTATGCTGCCCCAAAAGAAGGAAGAAACTATAGTAAAAATTCTAAAAAGAGCCATCTAGCAGAAATATTTTCAAGAAAACTAAGTTATATTTTACATAATATTCAAAAATGAAGTTACTTTCATTTGTTTTTCTTAATTAGTGCTTCCCAAACCCAGTGGCATGGGTGGTTGTAACATTTTAGATCCTATGGAGGAGGCTAATCTCCTTTTAAGGATTATATTTTCATACTTTTTTTCCACAATAAAACCAAAACTAAAAGCAGATCTGAAAGTCTGATATAGATCTCTTTTCAGTTTGGACTGGCACAGGGTAGATTATTAGGGGCTTAAATAGATAGAGCTTATTCAGTGTATAAATTCCATTTACTGGGAAAAAATTATCCAATACTTTGCATATTTATTCTTGTCAATTACTAATACTCAGTAATTCAGTCCTTTTTTTTTTTAAAGTAGAATAGTAAATAGACAAGGCAACACTGTTAGATAAGCTGAGTGATAATGTGTGCATTCTTGCACACTTTGTATCTGAAGCAGAATTTTTCAGACAAAGCAGAATATTTTATACATTAAATAGTCTCTCCTTAGTTGCAGTTCAACAGAATTATCCTATTCAAGCATTTCCTGCTAGATTTTGTTTCCCAATCAGTTGTCATTTCATTTGCAATTCTTGTAATTTAGTGATCTTTGTATGTCACTTGTTAGCTTAATCAGCTGTTTTTGCAAATGGGCAGCGCAATAGTACTAATTATAGCTATAAATAAAATTAAAAAATAAATAGATACAATAAATTAAAAAATTAAAAACAGGAAAATTGTAAAGCTGTTTAACAAGGATTTTGGGTCTGAAATGTGTAGACAGACTTCACAAACTAGGATTTTGGTACATTTTAGATCTAATCTCAAAATGGCATAATTTCTGAAGATAACTAGAAGTCATGGTATCCTAGACATACCTTTCTGCACAAAAAGATTTTTAGGAACCAAAATATGATCAGACATATCCTGGTTGGGAGGAGAGAGCACATAAGCTCCGTTATTAGAGATGCACAGAATGATGCTTCACTTCTGCTTAACTATCTTGAAAAGCCAAATGTGGCCATATCATGACCAACTCTCTCACACTGTTGTGTTTGTTCAGAAGTGTCATATCAATGACAGTGACACCAACTTTGTGAGTGATTTTTCAGTATACGAAGCTCATTCGAGGCCTTCTTAACCCAGAGAAGGCTTGAACTAGTAGGTCTTATATCCTGACATCACCAAGCATTAAGTACTCATGGTAGGAAAACCTGCCACTTCTTTTGTTGAAGTTGAGCCCCTCTTTATACAAAAAAGGCAGGATTCATGGAATGAGGAGGAGAGCAGGGAGTCTGATAGCTGCACCCCTGTCGTTAGAGCATCCTTTGCTGCCGCAGGGCAGGCCTGGAGTTCCAGGCTCTGCTTTTGGTGTTACTCGTTTATTACTCAGTGACTCTTTCATATAAAATGCATGAACAGTTCTGCAGTTAGACCCTCCCCAGGTACACCTTCTTCCAACTCAATGCCATATCTTCTGGGCTACATTCTGATCTATCCAATAGTATAAAACTAAACAGTCATCTGTACTATCATAATATTATCAGCAATATGTAATTACTGCTAGAACAAATTTTGCTCTGTTTTTCATATAATTTGTTTTCATGAGGTCACTAAGTTCTCTAAAGCATAGAAATACAGTGAGTGAACTGATGAGACCTGTTTTTTTTTTTTTTAATTTATTTTTAGTGTTTTTCTGTGTCTTAGGATTTCATTTTGCTAATCTACTGCAAACTATATCCAAAATCCCACTGGAAACAGCCTGATTTTCCTTCTCATGTAGTAGCCTGGCAATAACCAACAAGATCTTTTGCATAGATGTATGCAGTTGTCCTTTTTTCTCATTTTCAAGGAAGAACAGAAAAAGGAGCCAGTGCGCGTCAGGGATTAAGCAAGGGAAGAGGAAACAGATGTTCTTCCTTTTGGGTTACAGCCATATTAAATTTATACACTGATGCATAACACAGAAAACAAGAAAATCCTAGAGAGAAAGATAATTTCTGAAGAGAAACAGAATCCCAATCTGTCCCCTTTTCCTCAGATTTCCAAAATTAGAGGGAGCTATTGACAGATGATAGAGGCTTTAGAAAATGGTAGATGTTAGAAATATATAAGTAAACTTTGTACGTAAAAATCATCAATGCTTTGAATTGATGTTACTGTTATTGTTTTTCACAACATATTTTTGTACTTGTTCAGCTTGGCTTTCTGGAACCTGGCATTCTTCATTTCTTTTAGAAAGGTCTTGTGGATCTTCCAGCAAGAGCAACAAAATAAACCAAGAAAAACATTCCAATGTGCATAGCATTCAAATTAAAAGCATTTTAATGGCAGCTATATCCGCTGAAAATACAATACAGTTTTTCTGTTAACTATTCAAGTCAGTAACTTCATATGTTTATTGTATTATAGGTACAGGAATGGCTGTGCTTGAACTGCCAGACCCAAAGGGCAATATCAGGACAACTTGGGGATATGGGCAAGATGCCACTTCCGAAACCAGTCCCTTCACAACCGGTATCCAAACCACCTGTCCCTCCTCAAAAACAGCCTACACCTACTGTCTCACATTCCCCTCAGAAGACTTCCACACCATCCACTCAAACAGCAGAAAAATCGAAAGAAGAACCAGGCATTCAGAAGGAAGTTCCAAAACTTCAACAGGGAAGATTGGAAAAAACATCGTCACCTGATAAAATCCAACAAGGAATCCAAAAAGAAGATCCAAAGTTTAAGCAGGGCAAACTTGCCAAGATACCCTCAGCTGATAAACTCCAGCGTGTCTCTCAAAAGGAAGACCCAAGATTGCAGCAGGCAAAACTGACAAAGACACCCTCATCTGATAAAATTTTACATGGAGTTCAGAAGGAAGATGCAAAATTTCAAGAGGCAAAACTGGCAAAGACATCTTCAGCTGATAAAATTTTGCATGGAGTTCAGAAGGAAGACATAAAACTTCAAGAGGCAAAATTGACAAAGATACCCTCAGCTGACAAAATTTTACATGGTATTCAGAAAGAAGACCCAAAACTTCAACAGATGAAAATGTCAAAGGCACTGTCAGATGACAAAACCCAACCTGCGGTTCAAAAGGAAGATGCACAACAGGTGAAATTGTTAAAGGCAGTTTCAGCTGATAAAATCCAACGTGGAATTCAGAAAGAAGATCCAAGATTTCAAGATGAGAAAACAGCGAAGACTTCTTCAGCTGACAAAATCCAGCATGAAATCCAGAAAGAAGAATCAAAACTTCAGCAAGGAAAACTGTCAAAGACACTTTCAGGAGATAAAATTCCTACAACAGTAGGTTCAGATCAAAAGAAACCCATAAGCAAATTGGAAGAAGATAAAAAATCTGTGCTCCTGGAAAAGAAAGCACCACATCCAGAGGACCAAAAAGAGCACATTACAGCCAAGTCTAAAGACCAAGTTGCTGAACAGAAAGCAGAAGTTAAAGCACCCCCTAAGGAACTGCAAGCTAAGAAACAAGAGGATGATAAGAAAGAGGATATGACAACTGGAATTCCACAAATGGTTTCAAAAACTGAAAAAGCTCAGAAAGAAGAAATCGCTGCTCAAACAGCACCTTCGCCAAGATCTGACCTTGTAGAAACAGTGAAAGAAAAAACGGTAAGTATTTTTTCACCCTCTTCCTCCCTTGCTGCAATAAGCAATGTAGAATCTGAACCTGGGAGACCCTTTCCTTTTAGTCTTCCTGCTCTTTATCTTTATTCTTTGTATGCGATGATTCTCAATGATAAAAATCAATTACTGCTGTTGAGTAAAAGTTTTCACCAGTGCTCCTGTGCTCTACCACCTGTGCTCTATTTTTCAATAATCTTTGCATGATTTTCAGTCTCAAATACTTCAACATTTGAAACTTAAGAATAAGTTCCTCTTTTAATCAGTTTCTGATTTAACTGCTGCTGTAGATTCTCGGGGGTTTCGTGTTTAATTGTTGAAGCTGGAATATTTTCATAGTTCTCAATCCCAGAAGGAAATAAGATGTAACAGTAAGGTGTACGGCGGTTTGTAATACGAAAGTATAATAAACATTTGAGGAACATATTGTGGTGCCTGAACATGGTATGTTAACATATGTAACCTTCACACCTTTTTAATATTTCATTTGCCTATCTCATGTGGAAGAGTATTTCAGGTAGGGTTCTTAATGGACTCTCTAGTCACATGAATGGATGAATTAATCGTAGCATGTACTAGAGGGCTAGATGTGTAGAGATCAACAAGTCATTTATCAGCTGAAGTGGGTAATGTAACTTGTGGAGAAATGGAAAATGATGCTTTTTTATTTCAGTACCCCGAATTAGATGCCAGTTATTCTCTTTTGAAAGTAGGAGTAGGTATAAGAAAAATCTTTTGTCTTTGCCAAAATAAGGTTTTCAAATAATCCCAGTCAAAAAAAGTCAAGTTTTCTTTCTTGTGATAACAAAGATATTTGGGCAGAAAAATATTCTGATTTTGAAATTGTGCTGTAGAGAGTTCTGTTAAAAGTATTAAAAATGCTACCCTTTTTGTAAATCAAATTTTCTATCCAAAATACATCTCCCATCACATGATGGTACCAAGAGATATGGTATCCCTTGATTGTATCAAGGGAATCCTGGAACATAAGGCATTATGTTCACAGTAGCATAGCTGGAAATCCTCCTCTCTGGAATAAAAATGAAGTCTTAAGAAAATGGAGTATCAGTTTGGTTATCTTATAGCAAACATGAGACACTATTGCAGGACTTTGCAAGGAAGGTATGTTTAATTATGTTAATAGAATTTCACTTGGAGGGTATTTACTTTGCAACATAAATTAAAATCTAGAAATTAGCCTTAGAAATAAATTTTCTTTTGTTAGAGATTCCATTCTTCAGTGGAAAAACATGTGTAAGGGAAAGTATATATCCAGCACTAGTCTCAGTTCTGTCTGGTCATTTTAAAGTTTTACTAAGAAAGAGTATTGTGGTCTGGACAGATCTAAGATTCATATATTTGGTCTCTAAACCTGATAGCAGCTGATTTTAATTGCAGATTAATTCATAATTTGTAATAATGTCTTTATATACCATGTGAGATATAAATAAATATAGATTTCACTTGTAATTCACTTATATTTTACTTGCTCCCACTGCCTTCCTATTGAAATTAGGACTACTAGAGTTAATCCATGGATAGGGCTTGGCTTTCTCTTTCTCTTTTTATTAGACTGTCAAGTGAATATAGTAGCACATACCTATTCCCAGTTACCTTTAAAGCATGCTTGGCTGAAGTTTGTAAAGCAGTTAATTTCACGCATAAAAGAAAATACATAGGTATCCATTCTTTAGATACTCTTAAAACTAGACCACTCTGAAATGCAAATGAGATTTTGAAAAAGGATTATTTATTTTTATACACAATTCTTTTCTTTTTTTTTTTCTTTTTTTCCCCCTTGGAAAAATTCTTTGACCAAAAAAATTTGTTCTGAAGTAAAGATAAAGCTGATGCCTCAGCTAGTTTTTGTTTTGTAAGAATAACGCTAATCTTTTATAGTTATTTATTGAAGTCTTTAGATGTTCTTTGTGCTGCACATTGAACATTGTTGGATACAATTTTCCCCTAGAGAGCGTGTGACAGAAATGGAAAAGGAAGTAAAAATTTAGGAATATCACACATTCATACCATTTGGGTGGGTAAAGGATAGTATCTAGACATTAAAAAGTATTTCAGGGCAGAATCACATGAAGGATTTCTGTGAGATGTATTTTTAAATAGGGATACAGAGGAAAACATACTTTCTGCACATGACAAACTGCCGATGCCATTTTATATCCAGATCTGTGCAAACTGTAATTAACTGTCTCTTGTAGCATTCCCATTGGATCAGTAGATAGCACTATCCTAATTTTTCACCAAAAAAACCTATCATCCCTCAAACAAGCCCCAGAAGACACAGAGAGGCTGAAGCTCTGATCCTGACTCTGGTAAATCCTTTCTTGAGCTTTGGAAAATCTCGCACAGATCTCAGAGATATTTAGAAATCTGGCATCTTTTGAAATAAATGGGAGTTAAATTTTGAAATACTTTTAAAGATTTGAGCCTCAGAGTATAATTTAACATAATCCATTTTAACATAAATCCATTTTTCTTCAGTGCATTCTTTTTTCAGTAATTTTTTACTCAGTAATTTCTTCAAAGAGATTTTAAGGAATGAACTACCTTTGTTCATGATTTACAGGAATTTTTTTTCCTGAGAAGCCATCCTGTAGTATTGGCTGCTCACATTTGCTGTAGCAGTTAGCTTTTCTGACAAGGATGTGGTAGATGCCTAGAAATCTTGGACAGGTGTCACCTATGACTTTGTATAGGTATCTGGAAAATCAGTAATTAACGTATAAGTAGTTCAGCATATCTACATGAATACATTACCGTGGTGGAAGTGTCCTTGTTCCTATCTCCTCATGCTTACTAAGGAATGATCGGGTGCTTTGGTTCAGTTACTGGACAGAAGTGAATATATGGTAAATTGACGTCATTATTCTACCGCATGCCATAAATGACAAAATGCAGACCAGTGAGCACAGGCTCATATAAGGAGGAAGAGGCTTGTCTATAAACTTTTTTGTCTGGACACAAACAGAAAGTATAAATAAAATGAAGTATTTTGATAATAGGATTACAAAATGCAATTGCAAAGTAAGTAGTTTCGTCAGCCAAGGTCATTTTCACTCTGTGAAACTTCTTTTGGGGATAATGTTTCATCTATAAACAGAATGACCTTTTTAAAATTGTCAGTTCCTCGGCAAAGTAGAATTTCTGTTTTGGGCAGCAGAATTTAATCTCACTAACTTTAAATAATTTAGAAAGCTGACAAGACCTTTTTTTTAAATTTCAGTTTTCTTTCAGTGGAATTCTGATTTAATCCGATAACCAGCTGCACATTTTAAAGCAATTTAGATACTAATTATTGTCAAACAAGTTTTTTTAAATTGAGTAAGTGTAAGAATAAATGATACTTAGAATCAGAAACTTCTAATACAACAGTTATATGATGTATTGTCAGTAGTATAGTAGATACTGTGGAAATGTCACTGAAATAGTACAGACATGTCCTACATTAGATTTTTCATTTCATTTTTACCTTTAATGAAGTTAAAGACAATACATTTGGTGTTTTTAAACGGTCTTATCCAACCAGCAGCTTATACAAGTTCATTGCGTCTCAGGAAGATCCTGCCGTTGATATCTCTGTTAGAGCTAAATTTGTCAAGTATCAAAAACTCACCGTAGGCAAAGTTACAGACAAAAGGCCGTTAAACTACTCTGAAAGACCCAGTAAGTCAACATGTACCAAAGTAGTCCCTACTTTCACCAGAAAAAAGTGATTTTTTTTCCTATTGATTCAAATACATTTATCACTTTCTAAGATTTCTTAAATATATATGATCCTCAACAACATTGTTTTCTCAATATTTTGTTGTTCATCTTAAAATCCTACGCGGAATGCGGTCTGTTACAAGGTCTGCAATGATGCTGTCTTTGCATACACAATAACCAGCCCTGTCCAAAATAGATTACCAGTTATTTAAGAATAGATTTAGCTAATGACAGTATCCTAGCTTTCAGTCCGCAGAATGTGGAGAAAAAATGCACATATTGTTTTTCGTCGGTGAATTATATGTATATGATGTCAAAATAGAGGAGTATAATGTTTACATGACATGTATCACAGGGCAGACAACTATACATACACAAATGATAGAAAATATATTCATATTGTAGTAGCCTTAAAAAGAAAAGTGGATTTTCTCATCACATTTTTTCCTAAAGATAAAAGAAGTCCCTCCTTAACGTAGAACCTTGTCTTCTCCTTATGGTACAATGTAGCAGTCCTTCCCAAAATTCAAGTTCCTATTATGTATAACAGTGATATTATGGTATATGCTCTTGTTCAGTCATTGAGTAGATACTACACATGGGACGCAAATAATGGTGCCATCACAGGCTACAAGGAGAATGACTGAAATTGTTCAATGTCCGGTTGTCATCTACCCATTTCTGAGTAAAACTGCTTAGTTTGCACCTTCTATCTCTCTGTTTTGCAAGTTACTGTATCACTGCATCTCCTTGTGGAGAACCAAGACCTGACAGACTCACTTTCACCACTAGGACGCAGTCAGCCTATCAACTCCTAGGATACTTTTTGACCTAGAACAACATTTGCTTTTTCTAATAGCTCATCTAAATTGGTCACAGTATGTGTAATTGGATCTGTTTTCATAAATAACGAACGTATGGGAAATAAAAGATTAAAAAGCATTCAAATATGCTAGGTTAATTTTTAGTGATGGACATCATATTTATACATGAAAGATTTTTTTTGGTTTTAATAGAATGTGTATTTTTTAAAGCATGCTCTGATAAAATGCCCCTAAATACTTCCTTATTTAATAAAGAGAACAGTGTAAATATAATGTGCAAAAAATAAAATTATATTCCCAACTTTCCTTCATTGTTGACCTTGTGTAGAGCTTGTGTGAAGAATATGTATGATCAGTAAGGGCTGGGGAGTATCTTAGAGTAAACTCTTCGGAATAAGATGTGCTGAAGTGCTGAAGTGGTGGTGACTTCCCAACAATCATGTGGAGTACTCTAGGTTGTTGTGACATTTGCTGTAGTTTTAAATGCTGTAGTTTTGGCTCTGATATCAGATATTTGTGTCTGTTATATTGGCTACTGTGTTGGTAAGAGCAGATGTGTTTTATATGCAAGATAGTATCCGATTTTGCAAAGCATATAATAAAGTATTTCTGTGAAACAGAGATCGTTTAATGTAATATTGATGAGTATATTAGTATAATATTAATATCCATTATAGTATTAGTATTTTAATCTAGGAATATGGGCACAGTGACGTGTTTATAGGCAAGAATAGGCACTGTAAATATAAATCAAACTATTAAAAAGCCAGACTGATTATTAAAAATAAAATAACTGACAGTAATTTTTTAATGATATTTTGGTATTAAGTGGAACTTCAGTGTGATTATCATTTGATATTTTTTGTAGGTGACAACAGAACATGAGTGTAAATGTACCTTTAAATTAAACTTGACCATTGTTATCATTTCCCTAATATATTTATTCCACAATAATTAAAAAAAAAAACTCAGCTAATAAGGAAGTTCCTAAGTTAAATCTTTAATTAAGTGGTTTGCTGTACTTCAGAAATGATTTACTTAGATTAGCCAAGTTGATAAATATTACCTATCTATATTACTGAAGGAAGTATCAAATATCAAGATTAGATCATATTCTTAAAATCAAGAGATTTTGGCATGCTTGTTTTCAATAGCCTGGGAAGATGGGGACTTTTGTAAGACTATCAGCTTAGATGAATGCCTGTCCTTTAGAGTGTGAGCTGCATGACAAGATAGTTTCACTGAGAAATAGTGTGTTTCACAACAAGGAGAAACAGGAGGGTTTTGTTTTTTTTTTTTTTTTTTTCCTGTAGAGAAACAAGAAACTGTGGTGTGGAAATACTTGATATAGGATTTTTGGAGTAGTTGTGTCATTCAAAGGAGTTAGATGTGCTCCTCTTTCAGAATTGTGTAGAAGGATCTGGAAGCTAGGAGAATGACTAGGGCAGTTTAACTAGGATCAGAAGGAAGACATGGGTTATGCTCTTCAGTTAGGTATGTCTGCCTTATTTGCTTCCTTATTTCCTTCGATCAGCGGCTGACTCTTCCTTTTCTCTATGCAATTCTACTTCCCTAAAGGCGGCTTACCCCTACATTGCATATTTACTGAGACACTTCTGCTGTACTAGATATTCAGAAAATACTTGCACAGTGCCAAATCATGGATATGGAGATATTCCAGATCACTTTAACTCGTGCTTCAGTATTCCATGTATTGTATTACATGCTACAGTGTGTAACCCTTAAACTAGAAAAATGAAACCAAAGGTCCAAAATTTGAGAATGAAGTATTGGTAAAGAAGTATAAAAGGTTACATGGACAAAAAATGGAGCAGACCTCAGAAATAATGCTGACTGACATTTGGCAATCTGTATTTCTTTGTATCTAGAACTATGCAGGCAATTTTGTAACTTAGGTAATTAAAATCCTAATTTAGATTAGGATTTCGCTTAGATGGGTCAAAAAACTTGGCCCGTGCCTACATTAACAAGTGATAGATTACAATACAATGAGAAAACCTTCTGAAAAAAATAACTGTAATATTTGTTTATATTTGAAAATAAGAGATCATCCTACAACTGATAAAATCTTTTGCCAGTGTGAACTTTCATGCAAAGCATAATTTGATTATATACAAAACACACAATTTGAGGCTCTTTTTGTATTATTTTAGTAGCTTTGCATAACAAAATTAGTGATCGGTTATTTATGGTTTAATATAATTCTTCTTGTCATCGTAATTTTTCATCTGAGACATTAACTCATCTTTTAGAAAAAGAAAACGTATTTAATTGCCTGGAGACATTAAGAATTCATATGTAAATATATACACACGCATATGTATTTATTTTTTTAGGAAAAGGAGGATGAGAAATCAGACACATCAAGCTCTCAGCAACAGAAAAGTCCACAAGGTCTGAGTGACACCGGGTATTCTTCCGATGGGATATCAAGTTCACTTGGTGAAATTCCAAGTCATATTCCCAGTGATGAAAAGGATTTAGTCAGAGAACCTAGTAAAAAAGACACTATCCCACAAGAAAGTCCACCAAGCCCCTCAGATCTAGCTAAGTTGGAAAGTACTGTCCTGTCTATTTTGGAGGCTCAGGCAAGTACACTTGCTGAGGAAAAATCTATGAAAAACAAGGAACTTTATGAAACATATGATGAACAGACAAAGGATCAATATAAAACAAAGCCTTTGCCAATTACTCCGGAGTCTTGTAGTTCAGATGAGGAAGACATAGAAGGCATTCAAGATGAAGAACCTATTGTAGAAGATGGCAAAGAAAGTACTTCCTCACGGAAAGAATACAAAGAAAAAGATGGCGATGACACATCGTCCAGAAGACAACGCTATGATTCTGTGGAAGACAGCAGTGAGAGTGAAAACTCACCTGTCCCAAGGAGAAAAAGAAGAGCTAGCGTTGGTTCTTCAAGCAGTGATGAGTACAAACGAGATGACAGTCAGGGGTCAGGTGATGAGGAAGACTTCATTAGAAAACAGATTATAGAGATGAGTGCTGATGAAGATGCCTCAGCTTCTGAAGATGATGAATTTATTAGGAGTCAGCTCAAAGAGATCAGTGTTACTGAAAGCCAGAAGAAAGAAGAACTGAAAAGCAAAGCCAAAGGAACAGCTGGAAAACATAGGAGAATGACACGGAAAAGTAGTGCAAGCTATGACGAGGATGCAGGAAGACGACATTCATGGCATGACGATGATGATGAGACTTTTGATGAAAGCCCAGAACCAAAATACAGAGAAACTAAAAGTCAAGACAGTGAAGAACTTGCTATAACTGGAGGAGGAGGCCTTCGGCGTTTCAAAACAATAGAATTAAATAGTACAATAACAAACAAATATTCTGAGACATCTGAACAACAGAAGGGTATTTTATATTTTGATGAAGAGCCAGAGCTAGAGATGGAGAGTCTTACAGATTCACCAGAAGATAGATCTAGAGGAGAAGGATCTTCTAGTTTACATGCTTCTAGTTTCACACCAGGTACATCTCCTACTTCAGTGTCGTCCCTCGATGAAGATAGTGACAGCAGTCCTAGTCACAAGAAACTGGGAGGAGAGAGCAAACAACAGCGCAAAGCCAGGCATCGGTCACATGGTCCTCTTCTTCCAACTATTGAAGATTCTTCAGAAGAAGAAGAGCTGCGGGAAGAGGAGGAGCTGCTAAAGGAGCAGGAGAAGCAACGTGAGTTAGAACAGCAACAGAGAAAAAGTTCTAGCAAAAAATCTAAAAAAGACAAGGATGAACTAAGAGCTCAGAGAAGAAGGGAACGTCCAAAGACTCCTCCAAGTAATCTTTCTCCCATTGAAGATGCATCTCCAACGGAAGAATTACGACAAGCAGCAGAAATGGAAGAACTACACAGGTCTTCCTGTTCTGAATATTCACCTAGTATTGAATCAGATCCTGAAGGATTTGAAATCAGTCCAGAAAAAATAATAGAAGTGCAAAAAGTTTACAAATTGCCTACTGCTGTCTCTTTATACTCTCCAACAGATGAACAAACTATTGGAATCTCAAAAGAAGAAAGTGGTCAAAAGACATTAAAAAGTGCTGAAGAGGTGTATGAGGAGATGATGCACAAGACCCACAAGTCCAAGCCATTTCAAGTGGCAAATGAAAAAGATGAAGTATTTGAAAAAGAATCTTTGTATGGTGGAATGCTAATAGAGGATTATATTTATGAATCTTTAGTAGAGGATACTTACAATGGAACTATTGATACTAATCTTGTAATGAGACAGGATGAGAGTAATGAATATATACAGCCGAGAGGAAAAGAGAAAAGAATAAGAACTTCAGATCAGATTTATGAAGAACCGCAGAAAAGTACTGATCTACAGAAAGACTACTATAGTATAGAGCCTTTACATTCAATTGTGCCTCAAGAAGATATTGTTTCTAGTTCTTACATAATCCCAGAAAGTCATGAAATAGTTGTATTAGACAATGTGGTAACTTCAACCACTGAGGAAAAGCAGTTGTTAGATGCGGAAGCTGCTTATGAAGAGCTTATGAAACGACAGAGAATGCAGCTAACCCCCGGGTCCAGCCCAACTCAGCCAGCTTCAGGTTTCATTCCTACATCTGATACAAAGGTATCTACTGGTGGAGAAATTGTGGATAGTACATCTTTAACGTCAAGTACTACTTCAGCAATCTCAGATGTGTCATCTGCCAGTAGTGCAGCACTTTCTATTCCAGATGTTAAAATAACACAGCATTTTACAACAGAGGAAATAGAAGATGAATACTTAACAGATTATGCCAGAGAAATTCAAGAAATAATTTCTCATGAAACATCAATGTTGACATACTCTGAGGCATCAGAAGTTGCTGCATCAGTTTTACCTTCTGATGCAGCTTCCTTAACATCGTCTACATCTTCAGTTTGTACTACAGATAGCTCATCACCTATAGATAGTGCAACCACAGGTTCTATAGATATGGCAGATGCTGTAAGTAAGCTAGCAGATTCTGAAGATGTCAGGATGATAACCCAAGTTCCCTTAACATCTACAAAAGAGTATTCTGAAGTGAGCATACCTTACACCTCTGTTGCCAGAGCCACTAAAAAGCCAGCTGTAGCATCAGATACAAAGAGTGTGGATCAAGCTGTAATTTCTTTGCCTGAAACTGCACCTTTGGTAGCAACTACAGTTATAAAACCCAAGCAATATGCAACTGATGTCACTGCCTCTGGTACCTCCAAAGCAGAAAAGGATGCAGCTAGAAAGATTAAAAGTACAGTAGAGGCTGGCATTATCAAAATTGATCGTGAAGATTCACGCAAAGAATTGGGTCATGATATGGCAAGGATTAACTTGACTGGTGCTACATCCGAGCAACCACCCGTATGTATAACATCAGTTTCAGTTACAGAGCCTGCATCAGCAACATCTTCTGTACTTACTCCCAGTGTTGTAAGTCAGACCACCCTGATCTCTGTGCCTTCCTCAGCTCCCGCTGTAACATCCAAAGTATTCTCACTTTTCAGAAGTTCTTCTTTGGAATCTCCTGCACAGCCTTCTCCACCTCCACCTCCTCCTCCACCTCCACCTCCTCCCCCACCATTGCCTCCACCTATTTTACCTAAGCCAGCTATTTATCCCAAAAAGAAGCCACAGGTTAAGACTCCAGTGACAACAGCCCCCACAGTGGTACCTTCAGTCACAAGTGTTACAACAGTAGAACCCGCAGCTATTTTAAAGAATCATGTGGTACCTGTCACAAAAACATATACCTCAACACCACCTCCTGTACCACCCAAGCCATGCTCCATTCCAGCAGGGCTTGTTTTCAGTCACAGGCCGACTGAAGTAACTAAACCTCCAATTGCTCCTAAACCAGCAGTTCCTCCTCTCCCAATAGCAGTTCATAAGCCAGCAGAAACACAACCCAAACCAATAGGTGTGTCATTGACTTCAAGTATGACTCTGAATTTAGTCTCTTCAGCTGAATGCAAATTAACATCCCCCACTTCCCCTTTGTCTCCACATTCTAACAAGTCTTCACCAAGGTTGACGAAACCCTCACAGGAAACCTATGTTGTCATCACATTGCCTTCTGAGCCTGGAACTCCCACAGAAACTATAACTAGTCAGGCTGTTACCGGTTGGCCTTTAGAAGCACCTTCTAAAGAACAGATTCCCCAACCTATGCAACCATTGTTTACTCCATCTATGAAAGCTATGGAAATTCACAGTATGACGGATGAGAGTATGTATATTTCAGGTGCCCTGCCAACTGTTCCTGTCACAATGCAATCAACTTTTGAAAAAGTACCTAGTTCAAAAACAGAAGTAATAACAACAGAGCTAACCAGGACCACAGTGTCTGTAGTTAAGGGCCACGTGCCCAGTGTTGGTTTAGGTAGTGTCTCTATTACTATACCTCCAGAGCCAGTACATCTAGTAGATCAACCCAGGTACAGAGAGAATGGAAGATTCCATCCTTTCGGTGATGTCATTGATCTTCGCACTTTAAGTAAGATGGATATCGGAATGCGAGACAGCTGTGTGGATCTGTCTGCTGTTTCGATGGATGTGAGAAGGCAAATGCCAGCAAGTGACACATGTGGGCGGCCAGTGAGTACCGTCCAACCAGCTATAATAAATCTCAGCACTGCATGTGTTGCAGACCCTTCTCTCTCTGTAGTCACTGAAACAGTAACTGTAATGACCTGCACTGCCACTGTAAGCTACTCTGCTAGTACAGAGAGCCTTGTGGATCTGGGACATGCTATGACAACTCCACTGCAGCTAACAACATCAAAACATTTTGAGCCTGCATACAGAGTAACAGGCAGCCAGGCTTTCTCCATAGGTAAAGATGAAGTGCCAATAAATTTATCCTTAGGTTCTTCCACACATGCAGTGACATGGGCTACTACAAAGCCTGTTACGGTACCTCCTGTTGGTGTTACAAATGGTTGGACTGAACTCTCCACTTCTCAGGAGCCAATGGAGAGTGGAGCAGTTGACCTTAGCACTACAAAATCCCACAGAACAGTGGTAACAATGGATGACACTACTTCAGGCGTCATGACTACAGTTATAGAAGATGATGAGAAGCCTGTTGATCTGACTGCAGGAAGAAGAGCTGTTTGTTGTGATATGGTTTATAAATTGCCATTTGGTAGGAGCTGTACAGCACAGCAACCTCCAGCTACGCTTCCTGAAGATCGTTTTGGTTACAGAGATGACCACTATCAGTATGATCGTTCGGGGTCTTACGGTTACCGAGGAATAGGAGGTATGAAACCATCTATGTCTGACACAAATTTATCCGAAGCTGGACTATTTGCATACAAAAGCAAGAATAGCTTTGATTATCGAGTTGGAGCAACTGACGCAGCAGTAGATCTTACTTCTGGAAGAGTTACTACAGGTCAGTATGACACAGCAGCAGATCTTTCTTTGAAATATAATTATGATGTTCCTCACCTCATTTCAGGATGATTTTTTATTATTATTTTTCCCCTCCTTCTATTGCTTTGTTTTCGTTTGGACAATGTGACAGATTATTCTGGATTCCCCGTGTATTTCATTTCTTCGTTTTACATATATGTTTTGCACAGAGGTGCCTGCATGTGCCTGCATGTTCAAATTTGTTGTTTTCTTCACATCTAAGGTAGATCATTAAGCTGAAGATTTGCATGCAGTTTCCCCTTCCCATTTAATTCATCAAGATGGGATGACTTTCAGAATCCGCAAAGCAGCATTCATTTGTGGAACTGGACTGTAACTTTGCCCTGTAATTTCAGGTGAGGTTATGGATTACTCAAGCAAGACCACTGGTCCTTATCCAGAGACTCGACAGGTGATTTCTGGCGTCGGGATCAGTACACCACAGTATTCCCAAGCAAGAATGGTATCATCTTTGGGTTCCCCTTACGGCGTTGGAAGTGTTTTAAGATCATCCAATGGTGTTGTTTATTCTTCAGTAGCGACTCCAGTCCCATCCACGTTTGCCATCACTACACAGCCTGGTTCTATTTTCAGTACAACTGTCAGAGATTTATCTACTCTCCAAACAATTGACTCAGTGCCCTCATTATCAACTTTGCAACAGAGTCAGCCACTCCCAAGGTCATACAGTTTCTTGACAACAGTCGCAGCTGAAAAAGACAGTGCAATTACTGCCATGGATATTGAGACAGTGTTGCCACCTCTTAGTATAGAAACGATTACCACTGAGCCCGCCAACTTGATACCTGCTTTAACTACAGCATCTGAAGTTTATACAAATGTAATTGAAGGTGAAGTTGCACTTCTTATTGCCCCTGAAGAAGGCAAACAGCAGCAACTGGATTTGGAGCGTGAACTTCTTGAGCTTGAGAAACTTAAGCAGCAGCGCTTTGCTGAAGAGCTGGAGTGGGAACGTCAGGAAATTCAGAGGTTTAGGGAACAAGAAAAGTTTATGGTACAAAAAAAGCTTGAGGAGTTGCAGTCCATGAAACACCATCTCTTGTTTCAGCAAGAAGAGGAGCGGCAAGCTCAGTTAATGATGAGGCAAGAAACATTAGCCCAGCAGCAACTGCAGCTTGAACAATTTCAACAGCTTCAGCAACAGCTCCACCAACAGTTAGAGGAGCAAAAAATTCGTCAAATGTATCAGTATGGCTATGACCCTTCAGGACCTGGCTCTCCACAAACTACCACAGATCAAGCACTTCTGGAAGGACAGTATGCAACAACAGAAAATGGCCAGTTTTGGCCTACTGATGATGCAACCACTACATCTTCAGCAGTGCTGGGTATTGAAATTCCACAAAGCCAAGCATGGTATACAGTGCAGTCTGATGGTGTTACCCAATACATACCTAGGCCTGGTATCCTAAGCTCCGTTTCAGAAATGTCACTTAAAGATATTGATGTCAGAGAGGAGAAGCACCTGAAAAAGAGAAGTTCTATGCCAAAATTACGTGGTCAATATGAGGAGCTTGAGGAGACTCTAGAGGAAGAGCCCAGGTGCTTCAAAAAGATAGTAGACAGTGGAGTGCAAACTGATGATGAAGATGGGGCAGACAGAGGTTACACAAATAGGAGACGGAGAACTAAGAAGAGTGTTGATACAAGTGTTCAGACAGATGATGAAGATCAAGATGAATGGGATCTTTCTAGCAGATCCCGAAGAAAGCCTCGCGTAGGGAAATACAGTGAGAGTACGGCTGAGGTAGACAAAACTAAACAATTCTCCAAAGTATCTAGCATTGCAGTTCAGACAGTGGCAGAGATTTCTGTACAAACAGAACCAGTAGGGACAATAAAAACACCTTCAGTCAGGGCTCGGTTGGATGCAAAGGTTGAAATCATAAAGCACATTTCAGCTCCAGAAAAGACATACAAAGGAGAAAGTTTGGGATGTCAAACAGAGACAGAGTCAGACACACAAAGTCCCCAATATCTGTCAGCTTCATCTCCTCAGAAAGATAAAAAACGCCCAACACCATTAGAAATAGGATACTCATCCCACCTTCGCCCAGACTCCGCATTGCAGGTAGTCCCTTCCCCTCCCAAATCTCCCAAAGTTCTCTATTCACCCATTTCACCCGTTTCACCAAGCAAAGTAATAGAGTCAGCATTTGTACCCTATGAAAAACCCATCACTGATGACATCAGCCCTCAGAAGATGCTGCATGCTGACATTACCAAGGTTCCTCCATCAAGCCCAAAGGCAGCAAAGATGATGCAACGCTCTTTGTCTGATCCTAAGCCCCTGAGTCCCACAGCAGAAGACAGTTCCAGAGCTCAGTTTCAGTACACTGAGGGTTTCATGGTAAGAAGTATTTGCTTTCTTTTCTTTTTTAATATGCAATTGTACGGCTGACTTTCTGTACAGCATGAGGGTTGACACACTCATTGGCAAACTTTTGTATGTAGTCTTTTTGCAAGCCTTGCTGAAAAGTCCCAAGGAATATCTGCTATCTAATGCAATGGACATTTACTTCATTGCTTTGTCTGAAAATAGCAGAATCCAAATTACAGTTTTAGTGAGATTCAGAAAAACCCACAGTAAGGTCTTATTCAGAATTTGGAAGCCACTTAAAGAATTTGATGGTAATTAATTGCTAGTGAAATGGTTACTACCATTTCTTCAGAAAATGAAATGCATTTTATTTCTAATAATAAGACACCCACGTCTTGCGGCACAGTGTGTAGTGCATTAACAAGAAAATTGCTAAATGTGCCTTCTGAGATGTAGCTGACCCCAAATTTATAATTGCCTGGTTCAGCTGTCCTTTTTGTCTCTCATGTTTTTCTACCTTTCGTGATTCTGTGGGTATTCTTGTGTCCCACCGTATACATCTTTTATCCCTCCCAGACTAAAAGATCTCATTTCACAATCCTTTTCTTCTTTGTTTGTTTTGGATAAGGAGGATTATACAGAAGTTGTGGAAGTGCTGAGGGCTGTTTCTTAAGGGGTCAGAGGAGGCAGTTTTGAATAATATGAGGCTTCCATCATCAGGACTTAAGTTTACCATTTCTGCAATATTCCTTTTCCTTAAGAAGTAACATTTCTGATCGGGGAATCAATTTGTTATTTTACGGCTGAGAGGAAGTAGTCTTAGTTAAAGAAAATAATAATTTAAATAATTTTATGTATTCTTGGCTGTTCCTTTTTCCAAGTCCATTCTCCTCTGTCAGTTGCAGGGTCAGTTGCTTGCTTGTGAGAGTTCTGTGGATTGTCATTCTAGGTTTTGTTCGATAATTTTTTGTCTTTTATGTTCAGTTATCTATGAAATCATAAGTGATTATCCCGTACAGGATTGGGTAGAAGAAAAGGGGTTGTCCCTTAGGTAAATTATGGTGACTGTCAGCTGCAGGATGGTTGGGTTATACTCTCCAAGGCCCAAACTGTGAGCAGTTTCTGCAACTTCGCACATATGTGCAGATATTAAATGCTTCCTATGCTGTTTCTGCTTGTCAAAGGGTACATTGAAGTTTGAAGGGAAAACTATAGCCATGGCATTGGCACTCCACATCCACATCATTCTCTAATGCAGGATTAACACAGGGTGGGGAGCAGTGGCATGAGCGCTTAAATTGCACGTACAGGGCTTGGAACAGCATCTTGCTCACAGGTGAGGAAGTATTGAGTTGTAGTACATTTTGGAGGGTAGGTATACTATTATAAAATAATTGGGAATATAGTGAAACTGTAACTGAGGACAAACAATTCAGCTTAATTCAAAGATATATATGGTTTTGATATGGACTGTGTACTTTGTATGATGATGGATGATGCATTCTGTAAAAAGCTGATTGTTTAAGGCCTTTAAATTAGAGTTTGAAAACACGCAGTGCGCATTAATCAAGGTACAGAAACAAATGGCTTGTATATCATTGTTTATTATTTATTACCATTTTGCATTGCGCCAAACCAGTAATGAGCTAAATTGTTCTTGTAAATATACAGCCACCAAGCAGCAAATAGACCCTGTCTCAAAGTACTTACAGTCTAAGTAGAATAGATGAACTTCTTGGAACATGGGGATGCAAGTAGACATACACAAGGAGAGTAAAAAATTTCCATGAGCATAAAGGGGGCTGCACTAGCTGTGCCGTGTGGCATATGATGGGGGAACTGCTCTGTAAAACTTCTCAACAGTTCTTGTTTCAGGGTTATGTCTTTGTCCCCATTCATCAACTTTGCAGCAGAAAAGGGCATTCATGTGTTTATGCGTATGTTTCACAGATTTTTTTAATGACAGTTTCACAGAAGAGTTGATCCTTATGCAATCAGTGAGTGTTAAGGGGTAAAAATGAAATTGGCCTCTTTTTGAAGATGACAATGAAATAATACCTGGTCCTTCAGGTAATGCATTTTCAGCAAACATATACTTCTTAGGAAAAGATATTTATTTATTCCTTATTTATCAGGGAAAAGATTATGTAAAATGTGAATAAGATGATGAATGATATATGAACATTTTACAACTGCTACTTTAAGTGCAATTTTATGTTCTACTTTAATGTATCTTTTGTAGGAAATTATTATTTCCTATAGTTTTCTCCAATCTAGTGTAAGCAAAAGGCTGAAAATATTCTGTAATAAGTATCCAGATAATATTGCTTTCGGTGACAGTATATTTCCTTTTTTTTTTTTTGATAATGAGTTATGTTTATATTATATTTCCATTTGCTGTCTATGGCAGTGTTTGCTCCCATTGCCATGAACGCTAGAGTGAACATAGGTGGTAGCTTCCCCTTAATCTGAAACAAAAGTCTTCCTTTCCATGAGGTTCTCTTTGGTGGTTCTTAAATGGTGTGCAGTTCTGTGATATATATTAGTAATCAAATGTAGCTGGGTCAAGGAAAAATTGTGAGTGATAGGTTGCCTGCACAAAGAGGAGCGTTGGAAGCCACACATCTAGAACTGATATTACACAGATACCTAATTTTGCGGTTTTATAAGCTTTGTGCTGCCTGAGCTCCCAATGGCAATGGGCAATGGGCTCCTCAGCGCTGCCTTTGTTAGAATATCATGCAGCATGGTGCAGTTGGGCTTTATGGCATACAAAGCAATGGGCTTTCCATGAAGACACCAGAAAGCCTCAGTGGAGTTTGAAAGTGGTGAGCGAAATTCATCCATTCATCAGCAAGAAGAAATTGTTAGTACCTGACTAGTTTAATAAAGAAATAACTTTATACCAATGGATCACAGAATCTAGTCACATGCTAGTCACAGTCAACTTCAGCACTGGTACATATTCTTTATGTGTATTCAAAGGTGGAAGGTGTCTTCCTTTTGCCTTCAGATGTAAAATGTTTGCTCAACTAAAGTAAAGCAAGATCATGCACATGAACTGCCACAGACACAACATATACAGCTAAGCACTGAATAAAGCCTAAGCAGAAGTGTTTGTATTAGTGAAACTAATGCAAAGACACATCTGTTAGCAGCCTGTCAGCTTCAGGGTAGAAACTTCAATATTCTGAACAAATTCTATCAATGTGTTTTTAAGAGAGTTAATAGGGATTTTTCTCCATTTTTTGTTTGACATGAGTTGCTGCATTTTTCACTGCAATTGTAGAGCAAATATAATTCAAATCTGCATATTATGGTAAAAAAGACAGTGATTTCAAGCCAGATCCCAAAAGACTGATTCTTTATTTAGGTAAAAATTGTGGGATGTCATTTACTGCTGTAGTAAAAACAGAGACTCTTTTTTTAACTGATTTTCAAAATGTCATTTTTTTAAGGGACATAAATTTAGAAAGAGCTAGGATGAAGTACCTTAATCTATGTTTTATTGTCTGTAGTATTGTACTGGTAATTGATTTTAAAAAGCACCAAGCAACAGCTCTGAAAGTGTTGGCTCAGATATATAGTACCTGTTAATATACATGCATAATAAATGGAAATGTGAATTACAGAATGCAGTAAAAACTATTCTCTTTAATTTATCACTACTCTCAGTTTAAAACCAAGTTAATGTAATTTGTCTTATTAACATTTCTCTTTCATATGTTGATATTTCCACCTTGTCCATATCACTTTAATAGCAACACATATCCTCATTTTCATCACTAGCAGCATTACTTATGATCTGGATAAATCATTACCATATGTTATGTTTAGATGAGTTGTATTTATTGTGAACAGTTCCATTGACATTACATACTTGAAGTCATTTGATATTTTCATTTATATGGATATATTTTCAGCTCTTTTCAATTTTAAAACTTTAAGACTTAAGGAGTTTGAGCTGTTATTCCCTATATCAAGTATGCGCTGTAAGGCTGGGGACGAGAGAGGAGAAACTGGGTAGCTGCTCCCACTAGAGTTAAAACCTTCCACGTATCATATCACTAATGTTTTGCTTGTCTGTTCAGGCCTAAACTGATCACTAGATCTGTATGACAGAGAGGAATGTTCTCTTTGGATAAGGAAGATAGGAAATACAGGTAACAGGGATAATTATGTGTTTCGGGGTTGGGCATTTCTGTTTGTTTACCTTCCTTAGCAGTAGGAAGCATGGTTCCTTTCTTAGTATCATGCAGAAATATCTGGTAATGGATTTTCTGCTGTTATTGGTACCTAAGACATTGATGTTTCCCTTGATTTTTCATAATCTGTTCCTAATTGGAGCTGAAAAGGTTTAGTTCTTTGCTATAGCTCTTGTATTCATTATAAAGCATTCAGAATTGTTCTGTGGTCTGTGAGATATGTGGTCATATGGCTGTAGTAGCAAAAGGCTTACTTTAGTGACTGTAATTTTGCCTTTCAGTCCCATGATCCAGTCCATGAAAAAGGAAGAGCATCTTCTTTTCTGTAAAAGCTGTCTTTCATTACCATTAGCACAAACAGCTGCTACTTAGGTTTCACTTTAAGTAAAAAAGGATGTTGAGTGAGGAACCCTGTACATTTCTTCTTTGGTAGTAGTCTGACATAAGAGTAACCCACATTTAAAGGCCAAGTTTTTTTTCTGTGCTTCCAGGAAAACTAAATGATATCTGTGGGCTGTGGTGTAATGAACTGTTGTTTGGGCATTGGTGGCACTGGCGACACAGCTCCATCACTTTGGCTGTGCATGCAGCAGTCTAAAGAACAGTCTGGAAGGGGCCTAATCTGCATGGTTCCTGCAGTCTGCATGCACCCTGTGCGCAGCCTACCTAGGTTGCCAGACAGTATGCTGACAGGCTTAGCAGCCCTGGGTCTGCATAGGCATCCAGGTTCTTATTTCCCTGAAGAGCGCCCTGCAGCTACTTTTGAGGCTCGTTCATTGTTTATGGACAGGAGATCTTTTCAGATTGAATTTGGGCCAGCAATCT